TTTTCTCTCTTTCAACCTTGAGACGCTGGCTGTTAATGATGGCTGTAATTTTTTTATTCATATGATATAAGTAGGCAATGTAAATTAAAATTAAAAACTAATAATTATACAAAATTGAACACAATTTTATTAGGTAAATTATTATTAAATTTGCATGTTTAAGACAAAAATTGAATAGGAATACATTAATTAATTCATTGCCGCACTACACTGTTAAATTTATATTTATTTATTTACCAAGCAGTAGATGCAGCAGTGGTCTGAAATTTGAATAAGGAACTAGTCTCTCTGTTCGAATCACTATCCGCAATCTGGTCCTGGTTATCTTGTGTTGGATGCATCAGGCTCATTGGGAAATGTAGCAATATTTCTTTTCACATGCTGGTTTACTTGTGGACTGCCTGTTTTTTTTTTCAAAGCCTTTGTAGCTCTTTAATGGTGTGCTGTATTTTTTATTCATACTTTTATATAAACTAAGTGGGCAATGTAAATTAAAAATAAAAACTAAAAATTATACAAAATTCGAAGACAATTTTATAAGGAAAATTATAACTAGATTTATATTTAGTTATTGACCAAGCAGTAGATGCAGCAGTGGTCTGAAATTTGAATAAGGAACTACTCTCTCTGTTCATATCACTATCGGCACTCTGGTCCTGGTTATCTGTGTTGGATGCATCAGGGCTCATCGGGAAATGTAGCAATTCTTGAGCTACAATATTATTTATCATGTTTACGATTTCAAAACAGATTGGTTTAGCATGAGTTACAACACAATACAGTATATAAAAAATTTAAAAAAAAAAATAATAAATTTATATTTGTGTTTGCAACGAAATAGGGCATGCCTTTTTTCTTCTGGCGATGAGTTTTCCCGTATGGTGCAACATTAACTTCTTCACAATCAGGGTTCGTGCATTTCACATGTAACCCCCCCCCCCCCCCCCGAGTCCTTTCTTCATTAGTTAACGGCACGGGACCTAGTTTGCAGAACGTACACGATTTTAAAATAGACAATATGACATCAAATCCAACAATGCGACGTCCCTCCCTGCATCCAATCCTATCGACATTATTCCCCAAAGAGATGTTAATTTGAGGCGGACAGCAATGATTACTTAGTCCCGATAAATAATCATGGTCGCCTTCATATGTTGGTGTTTTTTTCCTTGAAGTACCGGTTTTTTTTACTCACAGAAACCATCCCCCCTTCTTTATCAACTTCCGTTTAGCGACAATAGATAACTCGTGCTAAGAAATATAACTCTTACGGTTTTCCGAGAATTGCCACCACGGGAAACATCGGCTTACATCGTAACTTTTACCGGAAGTGGGGTATTACACATCTAAATCCTTAAGAAAAACTCAAGCAGTGCAAATCTTTAAAAGAAAAGCGACATTGATAGAAACATACTTTATTGTCACTTTAACAGTATTTTGATTAAATGTATATTTCAAGTGGTTATATAGAAGTTATGGCTTAAAACCAAAGTTGATGTACTCTGTCCTTCCCGTGATATCTGTGCTATTTATCTCCATATCATGAGTCGTCTCAATCGCAGTATTATCATTAGGAATGTCGTGCTAAAATTGACTATACTCGTTACTGTCTTTTGTTCTCATGATGGTTTCGTAATTTTGTTCTTTATTGTTTGAATGAGAGGACTTGCATTTCCTCTTCAATACACAGATTAGCAACATCAAGGTAATAAATACAAATAATGTAACGACTGCTATCACAGTTATGGAAATGTTACTATCTGTAAAAGATATCATATAAAATGAACTGTGAAGCATTATTAAAATAAACTTTAGATGATGCTTTTCAAAGGATTATCTCTTTTCCATCTGATGCTGATTCAATTCTTTTTAGTATTACTTACTTTTTGTTGAATGGATTACATCTGTAGACTATATTTTAGATAAAGAGCAAAATATTTTACAAGAAAAAAATCACAGACCACTTACGATTTAAAATGATAATAAAGCGCTGTATTAAATATAATTTATGAAGCCTATTTAAGAAATGAACAAATAAATAATTAAATAATTTCATGAAAAAAAAATCGTATATTATCGTTTTTAAAGGTAAAAAGAAAAGGTACCTGCACTGGGATTATTTTCTGTAACTTTTGTTTCACAGAAAAATCCGGATCTGCCATGAATACAATCTCTACATTGACCTGTTGTACGAATACAGACTCCATCCTTGCAAAATTCACTGCATGTCATGTTACATCTTTCACCATAAAAGTTCCCCTCACATTCTGAAGAAATTTATTTTTTAAAAGTAAAAGTTTTGAAATAAGAATTAAAATTTTATTTCAGGTTTTAGGACAGTGATTGAAACATTTTTTTTTGGAGGAGGAGACTTAAAATCATGTCACAATTTTAGAAAAGTGAATAATTTTTAGATTTTTTCTCTTAAAAACTAAAATGAAATAGACTTAGATAAATATTAGCAATATTTCAATAAAATTACAAATTTGGACAAAAACAGTCGGTTAAGGTTTATTCGTGAAAACAAATTTCAGAATATGTTACCTAGGTGCTAAAGATGTAATATGTATATAAAGGTTAATCTTTATAAAAATATACCAAGCCATGTGAATTGAATGAGGAAAAACAAATGACAAAAATCAGCAATATTACGTAGGCTGATTTTTACCATTCTGCTTTTCCTAACCAAATTAACCTGGCTTGCTATATTTTTCTTAATTTTATAATACACTTTTAGCAACAAGGTTACATATTTTGATTTTTTTTTACCTGTAAACCTTTACTGAGTGTGTGATTTGTTTATTGTTGTTTTTTATTGAAACATTACCAATATTTTCCATGTCTATTTCATTTTCCAGTTCTTAGGAGAAAAAATTCTAATAATTATCCACTTTTCAAAACCTGTGACATGATATTAAGTCTCTTTGCAGAGAAAAAAATTTTTGCATCATCTGTCCTTAAAACACTTTAGTATAATTTCAAAAAGAATTATTTCCTAGAAATATTGAAGTCAGTGGATAAAATAATGATAGTAATCATTTAAAATGCTTAATTTTTTTATGTTAGAAAAACAAATTTGTAGTAACTTCTGAACTCGCCTATGAAAATTTGCGTCACGGGATGATCCCCTTGAGATAAATGTCCATTTGATAAATATTAATGGGGCCTACCAGTACAAGTTTTTCCGGCCAAACCCTCAATACAACCTTCAAGACACTCCCCTGTGATGACGTCACACGATGTACTGTTTCTACAGTTAGGAATGTTGCATGACAACTCACAATTCAGACCAAAGTAACCATTTTCACACACTATAAAAATAATGATATTTGTTATTGTATTAAATGAATGAGCAAATGACTGGCCTAATTCCCTCTCGATGTTTCAATATTGAGTTTGTATTCATGCCCTACACTTGATTATTTAAAATGAAGAACCGTATAGGTATATGTACGTATTTCTATATATATATATTATGAAACAAACCTTGATCACATTTATCTTCCCTTCCATCCAGGGGAACAATCACCAACACACACCCCATTTACATTGTTACATTCACTGTTATCAAGGCAGTTACCGCATACAAACGCACATCCATGACCATAACGACCAGGCGAACATGCTTGACCAAAAAGGAAGACTCAAGTAAATTAATAATTGTTCCAAATATTAAGGAAGAATATTAATTGATATTTTCATATACAGCTAAGGCATGCCACACGATATTGTGTGTGCTATCCATCTTTCAGAAAACTAATTTTCAACTTTTTACGGTAATTTCGATTTTATGGGATATATTTGGCGCTTTTTCTCACACTATACATTTCCACAGTGCTTAGCCCCCTAGAATAAATTTATTACTAGCCAACCTTAATAATTCATAAAAACCGTAAGCATGAAAGCGCGTATCCACTGGCAATGGGATAATTAAATATCCTAATTACATTGTATAACAAGTGGATAAGTGAATACACAATACCTGTTTCACAGCTTGCCCCAATGTATCCAGCTATACAATTAACACATTCTCCTGTTTTAAAGTGGCATGAGTTATTAAAGCAGTTTCTTGGACACTGAGTACAGTTAACACCATAAAATCCCAAGTCACATCCTGTAATTTAGGAAAACCAAAATATAGAACAGAACAAGTAAAGCACTATTTCATTTGAGAGCGATTTATCAAATAAAATAACTAACCCTTTTTATTGATTTACTTAAGTGTTCTTTGAAACTATATTAAATCTAATGTAGTTTATTAGAACATTACGAACACAATTGTCCAGAAAAAAAGTTAATTCAGTGCTTGAATGTATTTATACGAAGTAACTACTTTATCAGTTTCTTAAGGGAAATGTAGGTTTGTTATAGCATAATACTTGATAGTTTCAATCGATGTATCATTTTTAAAAATACCAAACCAAAATTTAATTTTCAGTTTAACATGTACTGTTAAGAATAACTGCATTTCAAATTCCCTAATTTTTAAACTCATATTCATGTAATATGTAATTTTTTCGAAATAAAACGAAAGGCAAAATACGTTGCATTTACATATGAGGGAAAGTTATTCAAAATCAAGATTGTTAAGGCCTCTATGAACTAGAAAATGAAAATTACCATTAACTATAATTTCGCAAGCGTTGATGTATGAATATTCAGAAACACCTGAAAATGACTTAGACTTTCTAGTGTTGTAAAAAGTGACGTAGCGACCGGAAGTGACACAGTCAATAATGATTTTGATACGTGGCATTTGTTGGATGTCGTGTTGGTAACACAGAAAGCCTGACTTCCAATCGTCTGTATTGGATACATATACAGAAAATCCAGACAAGGTATTGCCCTCTGAAGATAATAGAAAAATTCAAAAAAAAAATAATAATAATTATAAATCTAACAATCAATGGTATACAGGATAGTCATGACCTTGCCAATTTACGAGGGTTGTCCCGTAAAATGACTGTAGGACAAGTTGTCTAGTGTGAAAAATAAACATCACTGCGTTCTGAAATTTTCACTATTATTTAGTACATATGTTAGTAATATACACAGCAAATTTCAGATAAATATATGCATAAATAAACAAATTATGAGATTTTATGCCATGTATTGTATCACCTTACAAGCGCATGGATTATAACGTCAAAGTGTCTAAAAAAGCATCACGTTTATCTTTGCTGAAAATGAAGTTGGATGAGTCCGACTTAAATTTAGGAATTTCATTGATACACATTCTTTAGTCTCCATAAACAGTCGAAGAACCAATTGGCACCCTCATAAGATCTTCTGAAGATTTATTAGTAAGGTTACGGACAATATTCTCACCATCATTCAACTAATAGAAAATCTCATATTAACTGTGACAGCGTCTTTTGCTATTAAATTAGGAGTTTGTCCGTAGGTTTTGTACTCCCCAGGGATTCGATCAAAAAAACTTCGCTAAGAAAACTCCTATTTCATTTGTATACTTAAGATATGGTAATATTTTTATAATCTTTTTCTTCTATGGTCATTTCAAGTCTCTGAAGGTGTCATTACAACATCGACATAAAACTGAACTGTTCTCCGGTGCGCCGTAACGTCATAAAACGTCGCCATTTTTCGTGCGTTGTGTTTACCACTTTCCCATTTCGAATGCTCGAGAAACTGCCAAAAATTAAGCAAATGCCTTAAAATTTTTACAAAGACTACAAAATTGATAATGGAATTGAATTAGGATAATTTTAATCCAAATCTTATGTATTTAAAACTTTTATTTTGAATTCAAACTCGTGTATTCTTTAATAAAACCTTGGTTTTTTGACCGTGCGCCGTAGGACAATACCTCGTGCACATTCAAGCATAATAAAATCTTTATTTTTGCCTATATTTTATCAAAAAAATTATCATGCACTTAAATATGATAAATAAAAATTTACTGAAATTTTCAGCTTACTGCGCCCATTACTTTTCGAGAAAAACGCTTTGTCCACGATTTTACGGGACAACCCTCGTATCTACCGAGTTATGCCGATATTATTATTTCAAATATTTGTTTTAGAATTTTTAATAATATACTCAGATATACAGTGTAACAAACTTAAAATTTCAGACACGGAATTCATAAATTAAATTACAGTAAAAAAAAATATTGAGACAATCTTACTTTTACATTTTACAGCTACACTTTCCTTTGATGGACAACCTTTTATTCCTTTTGGACATGTATTTATGTTAACCTCATTCCCTTCACAGTTCAACACATTATCATAATATTGAGCAAAAGAGCCATTTCCATAAAACGTGTAAGAGGGATTATCGCTAAAAAAAAAGATTTTTTTTAATATGATGAAGATATTTTTATTTAAATAATAAGACAAGAACAGAACTTCATACGGAAATAATATACGGCAATAAAGGAAATTTTTCTCAAGACCTGGTTTGCTTCAAGAACTAATTAAATGAGACCATTTTATATTTTTGCATTTAAAGAAAGCGTTCAAAATACCAAAAAGAGGAAATTTTCCTACTAAATGTAAGATTAAAAGATGAAAATTTGTAATACAAGGATGATGTACCTAATTTTCAATTTTTAAATTTTTCATGTATATATTTGTTTTTAAAACAAAGACATTTTAATATGTACATTTTATCAATAAAATGTTAAATGTACCACATAAACATTTTTTTTCATTTAATTGTTTGTTCTTTTATGTTTTTTTCCATTGCCCCATTCTTTTTTTTTTCTTTTGACAATTCAGTTTCTAATTTAGAGCTTTTGTCAAAAATTGAGTCAAGAATTGCCTTGGTGAAAATCCTTTATGGGGCCGACTATGGTTTTATTGTGTGAAAACTACAATAGCGAAACTCTTTATTTTAACACCATATATAACTAATATTGACTTTGGTGCACACGCAAGTTTGAGGAAAATCCCACTAAATATATTTTTAAGGGACCATCTCAAAATTAGCTACAATTACTATATAGGATAATATAGGAAAGTGCTAATTTTTCGCACTTAAAAGCAAATTATACAAACACTACAATAGAGTTTTTGCTCAAACTATAATATATGATGAATAATATCAAATTGTACATTATATGTAAGAAACACAAAATTCTACCGTCTTGTTTCCAGAGGGGGCATCTCAAAATGCCAAAAATTAACGAATTTTCCTGACTTTACAGAGTACCGTAAAATATGACGGAAACAAATGTTTTATACAAAAAAAAAATTAAAAATGTTGGATAATTCTGTGTTTTAAATTTCAGGAGCATATGTTTGTGACATTTTCTTTATAACATTTTTATTACCCCTTCTTTAAGAACTTCACGTTATCATAAACACAAAACGGATCATTACAAGGTCAATCTACCTAATCAAATGGAAAATCGTTTTAAAAATCAGTTATATAAAATTTTTTATTCTATTTTTTCACCAGAATTTTTTTTTAAATTGTGTTAAATTCTTTTAAATTAAGTGAAAAAATTCTTTAAAAACAGTAAAGACACTTTATTTTATAATGATGTGCGAATGCTGCGCAATGGAAACCAAAGTCGTCCCCCTTATATGAATATTAATGATCATCCATGGCATTGAAATTCTCGAGAGATCGCATTTTGTACGATTTTCATGCCACACTCATAGAATGTATCGCAATATTGAGTTTCTTTTTTCTATTTCATACAATTTTATCAAAAGTTTATCTTTACGGTAGAAATCCCCATGCCAAGCAAACGACCTGGCACTGTTTCATCAAAGCTATACTTTACAAATTCTTCTCCTCGGTTTGCTAGTATAGACTGGCCCGTCTCCATCAGCATCAGCTTGAGACCAGAGACAGAAGATGATATTGAGGAAGAACCGAAACCCACTGTTAAAAACGTATGTTTATACTCTAAGTTAAAAAGTTCCAATTAAGATTAATAAAATAAGGTGCCATCAAATTATGTTTAAACAAGCAATTCAAACCACATGCTGTCATCAAAAAGTAACACCAGCAATGAAGCTCTAAATGCACTCTCCTTCGTAATTGCGTAACGATGGAAAAATCCACACCTATTCATAAGCTCATCTACCAAATTCATTACCTGCCTGATATTAAAGAATTTAATGATTTTGGGGGTGGGGGTAGGGGATACGGTGGGGGGGGGGTGTTCTGATTTTTGGCTCATAATTGGCTTTTGTAAATTTATTGTTAAAACAACAAATATTATTATTTTAGTTCATAGCGTTTATGACTAAATTTAGAGTTCATAATCGCCACTTTGTGAAATAATCAAATTGTGCAATTTTTTCCCAGGGATAATGGTTGATAATGGTCGTTAATTTACCTTTCTAAATCCACACCCGCTAATTTACATGTATGCAAAAAAAAAAAAAAAATCAACCCCGACCACCAACATTTCAAATGTTTTCCTGTAGATATGGAATAGATAACCCTTTGCTATGGTGAAAAATCCTATGGAATTTTGATATAAATTTTACACTTTTTATACCCCCGCTTGAAAAGCAGGAGGATATAGAGTAATCGGTATGTCCGTCCGTCCATCTGTTATGCTCTTGTACGAATCTCTTATGCCCAACCCCTCTCATACCACTGAATGAAATTTGATGAAACTTTTACAGAATCGTTATTACATATTGCCACTGTGTACCTCCTATTTTACTTTTTGATCCAATACATATTTAGGGTTTCCCATAGCAAAACATGGGCACTGCCATTATATTCATGTGGGAGGCGTATGTATTATTTAGTGAGCTCATTGCTCACAGTACCTCTAGTTTTAGAATATCCCTGCGTCTGGTGGGAATTTTGTCTCACTACGAGCACTACTTTTTCCGTTATCATAATTGGATTGTTTATGGTATACATACATCTTATCATTATTACCTTTAGCATTATCATGATTCCTAATGTGTTTGAAATTGACTAACTTATGAAGTGAACAGTACCCACTACAGTCGATAAATACGTAATGTTTAATATTTTTAAAGATTCAGACAAGTATACAGAACAATGCAGAGGCATTAAAAACATGTCTCTGAGAGAAAGGGGTAAGATCACCTGAGGTGCAGGTGGTTATTTGAAAGAGTCATTTAGATAATTGGATTCTATATGCAAGTTATGCTTTGAAGCACGTTCCTGGGGTTATTTCAACTTTCTGAAATCAAATGCAGACAAATAACATTCACTATTTAAAAGCCCCTAAGCCATCTGAAATTGTATTATGACACATTAAGTTGAATATAGGTCATGATCCCTAAAAGTCAACTGCACCATCTGATACCTCATTAAATCATATGTTTATCTCGAAAATGATTGAAACTTCTCTCCTTAACACAATGTTGTTCCTTGTAACAGTATGCATTAATTGAATATTCAAGTTATGAGCCACTGAAGGTCGTCCCCTTCCCTAAAACTGGTAATGGTCACAATAGGGATCTTTGTCAAAAGTGTGTCAATCATAATCTGGCATTCATTCATGAGCCCCTGGGGTCAACCCCATATCCTAGAATTAAACATGAAAAAGGTGAGACACCTGCTATTAAACTTTCCTTAAATGTACATTTTTGTAAATTCATAATTTGCTTTATGTCAGAACAAGATGTATAAACAAGCCTGAACCTCAGAATGATAAATGGGAGGAAGGGTTATGCCTGGATGGTCTTTAATGCTAAAAACTTCTATTAAAAGTTAACATATTTGATTGATTTTTTATCTTTATTTATATATCTTAATGGATTATCTGAAACATGACTTTTTCTTCAAAGAATAAAAAGAGATTGATTTATAAATTTGGGGGAAAAAAGTTGTGTGTGTCTGTGTATGTATGTGTGTATTTTTAAATTTAGAAATCATTAGGAAACAAGTAATTTTAACCCAACCCCCATTTTCCACCCCTAACCCCCAAGAACTTCCTTTTACAGGTAATATCGATTGTAATTTCACAAACTCATAGTAATCCGTCTGTGTTTCACGTGCATCAGGAGGGAACAATACAATTATAAAATATAAAAATACTCATTTTTTTCATTTTCATAAAAGGGGGTTTACAACTTAAACGTAATATTTCATGAATTACATATATTAAATTTTATTTCCGAAAAAAAAAAATTAAAAAATCAAAATACTTACAAGTCCCATGAATCATTGTTATTGATGCAACATTTTTTCTCTCTCCGAGATCTATCGTTAGCCACGCCTCCTTCTGGCCGGAAGCTGTCAGTGCGCATTGCAGCAGAGAAATACTCCAGTTTCCGTCCACAACCTTACTTGGTGCAAAGTAGTCATTGTTGTATCTCTTACTGACTCTCACAGTTTTATTAAAGGCGAGGTTTTCTTTGTCAAATAATAAATTAACAACTTGAGACCTTATATCATATATTAACAGTTTAAAACCCTTTCAAAGATACGTTTTATCTTGGTCAATTAAGACTTTATTATGTATAGAAATGAATAGAAACTTACCGTAAAGATAAGCTTTGTCAATGAATTGGCAAAAGACAAATAATATGTACAATACGTTGGAGTCCATATTTAAAAATAATACGTGTCGTCATAAAGAGGTAAACTTCCGCAATGAATTTACAAAGTTTCTCTCCTTTGAAGTGTGTCATAGTTTAAAGTCATCATTTTGTACGTAAAACACTTTTTGGTATAACATAACAGTCTTGTTTGCAAATATACTCTGTCATTAATTTACAAGGCCCGGGGTATAAAGGCTTTGTATCTAGAATATAAGTGACTTAAAAAATAACAAATATATTTTTATCGACCTACACTTTAATACAGGAAATGAAAATAGATTTTATGCCTTAGCATATGTCTTTTGATAGTGGTTAAATACCTGCCAAATATCTCACAGATGTCTCAATTAACAAAAACAAAACTATGCCAAAAGGACTCTAAAATATAGTATATAGAATATTAATATAGAATATAATATAAAATAACAATCAAAATTCGATATTTTTGTCACATATACGAGAGAGGAAACTCAATCAAGGTCAACATCATTTCACCATTTATTTCTCTGATAGTATTTTAAGCATAATAAAAACTACAGTTCCTTCTGATTACGTAAAAATTATTAAGAAAATTTTTAAGGATGCAGTGATTTTTTTTCAGATGAGGTTTTCTAATAAAATTAAGTAACACTTTTATCCAATTGTCTTTTAAATTGCCACTTCGAGATTTTCAACTAGAATGCATGAGAAATATGATGATATGAGAAAATAAATATATGTTATAAATAGATCAATATTTCGAAGAGAATTCAGTTTAGTGGTCATTATTTTTTCATCCACCTATATCCAAAAATCCGATAGTTTCCTCTTCTTAGAAATATATTGCTTGTAGGCTTTTGATATCAATCTCTGTTCCTTATTTGAAACTTACAACTGATTCTAAATTATATGGCAAATTGAAAATCATAAGATATACTCAAGGGAAAAATAAATCCAAGAAGGAGTATTTCCCCATATCTGTTTTTCTTTTTCGGATCATAGTTTATTCCCTGTTTGCGAATTTCTAATGATTCGTTTTTTTTTAAATTAAACAAATAAAAAAAAACATATGTTTTAACATCAATAACGAGGTTGAAAGGTAACATACTACCTGATTCATGTTTAATTTGTACAAAACTATTTCGAGTATATTTATGATTTTAATTATTGAGTCAGACGTGAAAATTAAATATAAGCATACTGAATGTGATTTTTCCCCTTACCTATGACTTATTTCCTTCACATCAAAGAAGTTGCAATTGAACACCTTCCAAACGCCTATCTGACTATTAATTACAGGGAAGAAATAAAGATATTGATTTGAATGATTCACATTTCCTTTTTTAAATTTTCTTTGATCTTTATTTATTAAAGTGCTTCTTTGATATTTTGCGATATTGTTTGTTAATAAGAATTTCCTCCCATTCTAACAATATAATCAAACAGTCTTTTAACTTGGGACGGTGAATTTTTCTTTGTTTTAAAGGTAATTCGTTATATCTTCTAGCTACGGAATAATTTTAAACCAAAGGAGACTGAAATTAACTTCATTATAAACGACATTTCCATTTTAGGCATATTCACTATAAGCGTGTTTATTGTATATTGCTATACAGGGATTGATTTCAAATTCCCTACAAATTGCATGTGGTTATAGAAGCTATGGATTAGAACTAAGGTTGAAGTACTCTGTCCTTGCTTTGATATGTGTGTTATTTAACTCCATATAGTGAAACGGCTCAAGCCCAACATTGTCATTGGGCATAACATGCTGAATTTGACTATACACATTACTGTCTTTTGCACTAAGGGTGGTTTCGTAATCTTGTCCTGCATTAGTAGAATGGGAGGATTGGCATTTCCTCTTCAGGACGCAGGCAAGAAAAACCACGACCATTAGGATTATAAACAAGGATAAAATGACGACTGCTATCACAAGTGAAGTAGTTTCTGTAACAAGATATAGTAAAAAAAAATGTGAAATATTTTAAAAACAAACTTGAATAATGAAAAGAAGTTTGCATGTTTCCTCGGCCCATCTGATTTTTAATGCAATGATGATATTCTTGGAACTAATTATACAGCTGAATATGTTTAAAAATGTTTCCTTTGTGTATTGCTTGTGTATTGAAACGTATTTTAATGTATAAAGATCTGTCAAACATTTATTGTAAGATTTGCTTGATATAGAACAAAAATTAGTTTACTGGACAATGTTTGTCAAAAATATTTTAAAAGAGTGGTATTCAAAATGTTAACTAATAAACTAACACCTCCTCCCCATCCACCAAAAAAGGATATGATCGATTATAAACAATTTTTTTTTATTTTGGTAAATAAAGAGAATAAATCATGCACATATACCTGTTAAGGGATTATTTTCTACAACTTCTGTTTCGCAAAAGAGTCCGGATCTGCCATCAACACAGCCATGACATTGACCTCTTGAAGGATCACAAAGCCTTTTCCCTACAGTATTCATTGCACGTCATTCTACATTCTTCTCCATAGAAGCGCCCATCACACTCTATGATAAACATTATGATATCTTTTTTATTCTTGTGGCCTGTTCTAAAGTCATTTATCATATTGACACCTTCACAACATGTAACATATTGGTCAATTAAAAAAATGTAATGATTAGAAATGTTGAATGTTTTTCATCTTAGCTTGAAACAAATTTGCCAATTTTTTGTTTGCTTGTTTTTTAAAAAGAAATTAAGCAGATAACTAGCGACATTAATCCATTATTGTAATGTATTGAATTCAATAGAATCATGCCGCTGTGATTTTACAAGAGTTTATTTTTTTCATATAAAATAAGTAATTTGCATGGAAATCAATGACCTTTGAAACCGCCTTTAATAAAACAGTAAAAAAATAATCTCGTTCATATCAATATCTGTTCAATAGATACTAAAGGGCCTTACCACTACAGGTCGTCCCGACCCAACCCTCAACACAGCCTATTTGACATCCTCCGGTCACATGGTCACATGATGTACTGTCTTTACAGTTAGTGATGCTACATGGCGACTTACAATTCAGTCCAAAATATCCAATTTCACACACTATGAAAGTAATAATTCTTGTAATAACCCGGTATACTAGTTAATGAAGAAGTTTCTAAAAAAAAAAAAAAGCAAATGACTGACCGTATTCCATCTGAATATTTAAATATTGAATGTTTATTTATGACATACAATCAAATTACGGAAAAGGTCAATTAACTAATAGGGATTCATTCATTGATTATGAAACATACCTTGATCACATTTATCTCCCTCCATCCAGGAGAACACTCTCCAGGACAAAAGCCATTCATATTATTACATACACTGTTATCAACACAGTTACCACATATGAAATCACTTCCTTGACCATATATACCAGGAGTACATGCTAAATCGAAAAAGAAAGACACAAGTTAAAATGTAAATGCATAAGAAATTTTTGTGGGGAACAATATGTAAGCTCTCTCTCTCTCTCTCTCTCTCTCTCTCTCTCTTTTCTCTCTCTCTCTCTCTCTCTCTTAAAAGTAACATTTTATATAGACAATACTGCAGAGTACTTTTTAAAAATGCTGTTTTTATCAAGGTGAAGATTCACTGACATCAATATAGAAATAAGAATAGCACTCCAAGGAGGAAGAATTTTTTTTTATGTTTTCTACACAAAGGTTTTTTGTAAAATAACTTTTGAAAACTGGAATTGTTCAGATATATCTAAGTTAAACCCTGATATATATAGAGAATAATACATACCCTTTTCCATATCACATCCTGTATCAGCCCGAGACACCAATATCAGCCAGAGGGCCGAAGGCCCGAGGGCTGATATTGGTCGAGGGCTGATACAGGATGTGATGTGGAAAAGGGTATGTTTTATTATATTTATTACATACTTAATAATAAAATACAGAACACATTCAGTTGAGAAGAAAGTAAGTAAATAATCATGCATAGACGTCTTACATACATGTACATAGTCTAATGTCTCATAAGATTAGGGTTTGTTTCTACTTCTATTTCAATGCACTTGATCCGTCATTTGAAAATATTCTATAGTATTACATGTATTTGTAAATTAAGATTTTCAAAAAGTTAAAATTAAGAGAATATGAACGCACCAAAAATTGTGTATGAACACAAGTACTGTTATTGTGGTTTAATTTACTAAGGGTGTGATATTGACGTCACAATAGCCGTACCAACCCTGCAGGGCTGATATGGATTTGCAGGGCTGATACGGATATCAGCCCCGCAAATCCATATCAGCCCTGCAGGGTTGATACGGCTATTGTGACGTCAGCCATATCGCATATGCAAAAAACCTGTATTTATTATTAAGTGTGTAATAAAGTACATGTATACACTTACCCGTGGTTTGTGAGTGGGATAGTTCTTTCATCAAACCCGCGAGACAAACAGTTCCCGTTTAAGGTTTGATGAATGAGAAACTGCATTATACACCTATTTACTAACTATGAGGACAATAGCAAGTTTATCGTTCCCCAAGACAGCAAACTATTTCCCGAGGCGAAGCCGAGGGAAATAGTTTGCTTTCGAGGGGACGATAAACTTGCTATTGTCCGAATAGTCAGTAAATAGGTGTTTTATTATACCGATGCTGACTTAACTTTTGTTAACTTTTGGGAGTCCAGGGTACAGACAATTATGATATTCCATATTATACCGATGCTGACTTAACTTCTGTTACGTCATAATATATACGCGTCACAATCCGTATAAAGCCAGAAGTTTTTCGAGATGAAAAGCGAGGGAAACAGAATGCTGCCGGTGAATAGTTTGATAACTATTTCACCATGGGCAGATAGCACAAAAACTATTTCACGGTAGGGGCTGTTTGGAAAATATAGCATGTTTATTCGTCATGTTTTTATATTGAACAAATTCACAGAGGTATAATAAACAGTGTTATTTTCGCCGTTTTACACTTTCTAACAATTTTGCCCCGTTTCAAATTCGCCAAGTCACAGTTCTGTTTAAGAATTTATACTGTGTTCTTTGAATTCACCCCGTTTTAAATTCACCCACTTTTAACAAGGCCGAATGGGGGCAAAAATAAAACTGCAGCGAATATTTCCCTGTATATAGTATTCAACTCACAACCAGTGGATATTCGTTTTATGATACTGCTGTATGTCATAATATCTGAGTTTAAATTTTCTGATACAGTTTGTAATCTAAGCATGAAAAAAAGCTTCACTAAAAACCTCATAGTCATGAGAATTTATCATTCTATACATTCAACACAGGATATGAAAATTGGCTGTAATTCTAGAGAATTTTCCCAGAAGTGGGGGAAAAAACTAGTATCCGATGGTAGACCTTTGCTTTGCATGGAGATTATAGACTTAAAAGACGTTTACCTTCTTGAGTTCTATAAGAAAAGTTTCAACAGCAGTATACTTATGTTTGTAATACATTTCATTAAAAAAATTCTATAAACTTAAATAATATTTCATTCGTTAAGTTTTTTGACTCATCCATCAATGTAGATTTAAAAAGCAATATCCGTTGTAAAAAGCTAACACTCATGAAATATTATGACCATAAGTTTAATTGAGAGATTTATTTTCTCATCAAACCCTGTATATTTCGAAACTTTTAGTATTTCCTTCGAACAAGATCCCGGTTGAAAGTCCTTTTCACTCCTGTCTTGGGTTTAAAAAAACAAACATTTATATCGATTATTAAGGTGGATAAGAGGATAAGCATACTATACCTGTTTCACAGTTAGCTCCAATGTATCCAGCTATACAATCAATACATTGTCTAGTTTGATTGTGGCATGAGTTATTCAAGCAGTTCTTCGGACACTTTTTACAGTTAACTCCATAAAGACCAAATTCACAACCTTCATGTAATCAGAATATACAAAAGGCTGAAGTGAGCTAATAAACACTATCAACAATAAATATCAAATCATATCAAATCGATAACGTCTCTACTCTTGATGCTTAAAGACCACTAAAATAAAATTTTCGTTTATTATTTGTAAGAGTTCGTCCACTGACATAGTTTGCAAGCTTATGTTACGTTTGTACAAAACATCTGGTAAGACTTGTATAAAGAGATACGTACATATATAAATTTCTGAACGCACACTCAGTTCAGTTTCAAACATAAAGATAAAGTAGAGACTTACTTCTTTCATTTATTATAAGATAAAAATTTCAGAACCTTTACTTTTCAATTATCAAGGAAAATAAAGCATATGATAGTTTTAAGGCTATTATGAGATGCATTTATTTTTAAAAATTGAATATTTTTGTCATACAAAAACTTCAACTTTGTCCCTTTTCTTTTCTTATTGTTAATGATTTTTACACTTTTTTTCAACTGCAGCATTTAGGTATTTCTTTCAAATGAAAAGGAAAGATCAAAATTGTAAATTAGTGTATATTATATTCTTTATAATTATGCAGATGATTTGAGAATTTGAATCTGTAAATGACCTAAGAAAGACGTTTACCTTCCACATCAATTTCACAAATATTAATGTATGAAAACTCGGAAATACCTGGAAATGAAGTCATGTTCCTTGTGTTGTAAACAGTGACGTAACGACCGGATGTGACACAGTCTACTGTGACCTCATTAGGTGGTATTTGTTGTATGTCGTGATGATAGCAGCGAGTGCCTAACCTCCAGTCTTCTGTATCTGATACAAACACAGAAAATCCAGACAGCGTGCTGCCTTCTGTATATGAAGATAGGTGCATCATTTCATTTAATAGTTATTAGTTTAAAAGATACTGAGTAGTCTTGCCCACATCATTTTTCATTACAAATTTACATGATAAAATTAGAATAAAATAAGGCTTGCCCCAAAATTTTGTAGCAAATGGAGATTTTAAAATAAATATTTCTCATGATAATAAAACTGTCATGATAATATCAGTAATAACTGTAAGAAGGTCGATATTACATGTATCTGTTGGAGCACCAGGACAATCCAGAAATATTTACGCAACAAAATATGGCAATCGCATTTGCCTCTCTGTTGATATCTAGAACAAAACTTCAAAGTTATTTTTTAGGAATTCCTACGTCAAGATAGGTTTTCCAGTCTAAAATACTCCAAGAGATGCTAAAAAGATGCATGTTAAGCACACGGAACAGAACTTTTGACCAACATCTTAACAAAGTCCTATCGGAACCGGAGTGAGTTATCTTATCTTGCACCGTCAGAGGTCGCCACAGGAAAATGCGGTCCAACACAAAACAGCTGATAATGGCATCTCTTCATCTTATCAGTATCAGTATTCTTAAAACCAAAGCGAACGTGTTTTATATTTGTACTTATCAAAAAATTGCACTATTTTATGTACTTTGTGTAGTCTAATTGTGTGCAACTATTTTGAAATCAGAAAAACTGTAAAAATTTGTGCAAAAAGGAATTTCACAGAGAATTGTAGAAAGGTAACCATGGCGCAACCGTTTTTACACCAATGATGTTTTACAAAAACTGACATGATTATTCAATTCAGCATTAGATGTAGTCTACTTGTGTGCCAAGTTAAGAAATCAGACAAAAACTGTATAGAGTAGCGTTTTAAAGGAATTTCAAGAAAATTATTTAATTCAGTATACCATGGCAACATGTTCATTGAAATCAAAAACCGCTGCACTATTCTATGTATCTTAGAATAGTCTACTTGAGCATTTTTTATACTGATAATCAGAAAATAACTGTAGATATTATGTTTTAAAGGAATTTCACAGAAAATCTCTATATTTTAGTAACCATGGCAACACCGTTCATTTTTTTTTGTAGAAATCAAAAATCGGCACATTCTATGTATCAATGTTATACACCTACTTGTGTGCCAAGTTATATTGAAATCAGACAAAATGCTTCAGAAGGACAGCATTTTGCTGAATTTCACAGAAAATTCTATTTTTAGTAACCATGGCAACACCGTTCATCGAAATCAAAAACCAATGCACTATTCTATGTATCTTAGTGTGCAATATGGATTGTGTGCAAGTATACTTGGCACAGTTCAATAAAAATTGTAGAGGAAGCGTTTTGAAGAATTGTTTACAACAGACGGATTTATCAAGTACATCCGTACCATTACTATCGCAAACAATGCTCTTCTGGTCTGTGACCAGTGCCATTAGAGCAGAAACGAAAGTGTTTTATATTGACTTAAGTGAATTTGTAATGGAAAATGATGGCAACATTGCAGAATGTCAGTGCGAGTGTGCAGCTGGAATGGGACCTCTAGCCCACTGTAAACATATAAGCACGGCACTGT